AAACTTCAAACCCATTAACCCTTTGCACTTCTCCTCAGCCCTGTAAACACCATTCTACTTTCTGTCTCCCAAGTATCTCATAGAAATGGAATCATACAATATTTGTCTTTTTATGTCAGGCTTATTTCACTTAGCATAATGTCTTCAGGGTTCATCTATGTTGTAGCATATATCAGAATTTCATTCACTTTTAAGCTTGAACAATATTCCATTGTGCATTTATGCCATATTTTGTTTATCCATTTATCTATTGATAGACACTTGAGTTACTTCCACTCTTTGGTTTTTGTGAATAATACTGCTATAAACATGGGTGTACAAACTTTTGTTCAAGTCCAAACTTTCAGCTCTTTTGGATATATATCCAGAAGTGAAATTGCTGGCTGATGGTGTGTGTGCTCAGCCAACTCTTTGCAGCCAAAGAGTTTTCCAATTCTTTGCAGTCCCATGGACAGTAGCCCGCCAGGCTCTTCTGTCCATGGGATGTTCCAGGCAAGAGTACTGGAGCAGGTTGCCATTTCCTACTCCAGGGGATCTTCCCAAACCAGGATTGAACCTGCATCTCTTGCTCCTTCTGCACTAGCATCACCATGGAGAAATTGCTGGATCATATGGTAATTTTATGATTAATTTTTTGAGGAATCACCATGCTGTTTTCCAAAATGACTGCACAATTTTACATCCTCACCAGAAGTGCACAAGAGTGCACTTATCTTGGTAAGACTTGTTATTTTCTACATTTTTATAACAGCCATTCTAATGGATATAAAGTGGTATTTCATTGTGGTCTTGGTTTGCATTTACCTCATGTGGAGAGCTGACTCTTTGGAAAAGACCCTGATGCTGGGAGGGACTGGGGGCAGGAGGAGAAGGGGACGACAGAGGATGAGATGGCTGGATGGCATCACTGACTCGATGGACATGAGTTTGAGTAAACTCTGGAAGTTGGTGATGAACAGGGAGGCCTGGCATGCTGAGATTCATGGGGTTGCAAAGAGTGGGACATGACTGAGCGACTGAACTGAACTGAACTGAACTGATTAGTAATGGTGAACTTTTTTTCATATGTTTATTGGCCACTTGTATATTTTCTTTGAAGTAATATCTATCCAAGTTCTTTGCCTATTTTTTAAGTTGGGCTTTTTGGAGAGAATTTGTATATTCAGGAGTGTCTCAAATATTTTAGCCAATGCAATATATATATAAAATGTCACTAATTTCTACAGTTAAAAACCTGTATAGTATTTTATTCTATATTTACATACCATATATAATTTTAGCAATGAAAACACATTTCTAACATTCACTCTGAAAATTAGGAAAGTCCCTGGTATCTAGCTTTTAGTGGCTGTCTCTGATATGGCCTTTCTTATTCAAACAATAGCTGACCATCCTAAGAATTAAATTCCATATTGTAGCAACTGCCTGCACATACATTAGTACATAATACCACACTGCTATGTTTAAATCTTTAAATTAAATCCCACACACCATAGTTGAAAGATATATATCTGGTTCTCTGGTTATGGTGCTTATCTTTCTGCCCTTCACCCACCATTCGCAGTCACATTTGCTACCTATTCTATTTTTTGAACAGCCAGTTTGCACATTCCTAACCCAGGGTCTTTGCACTTGCTGTTCCTTCTGCCTAGAATGCTCTTCCTTTTGACTCTCTCATGAACTTACCCTTGTCACTATCCAGGTCTCAGCTCAAGTGTTACCTCCTTAATGAAGTCTTCCCTGACCCCCAAACTACAAGTAGCTGCTTTCCCCTAAGTCTTTCTCAATCAAATTGCCCTGCTTATCTTAAACTTAAGTTTATGTCTTTATTAGCCCCATGAAAAGAAAGACTTTTTATTCACAACTCTGTACCCAGTACCAAGGTGAGTGCTTTGGCCTATGGCAAGAGCTCAATAATTTTTTTTTTATATTCACATGAATTTTTGAATACCTCGAGTGTGACATGTGTCATAATAGAGATAAAAAGAAAGTGCTATGAGAACACAGAGCAGGAATACCTAAATCATAATTCCAGAACAGGGTAGGTGAGAATTGTCCAGATAAGTAGATTAGTCAGCATGGGCTGCCATAACAAAATACCACAGATTGGGTGTAACAACAGAAATTTATTTCTCACAGTTCTGGAGGCCAGGAAGCTCAGGATCAAGACACAGGGTGATCTGGTTCCTGATGAAACTGTCTTCCTGGCTTGCAGATGTGTCCTTCCATGGTGTCCTCGCATAATGGAGAGAGCAAGCAGATGGCATCTCTTCATCTTCTTATAAGGACATCAGCCCTATCAGATTAGGGTCCCAACCTTATAATCTAATTTAACGATTATCTCTGCCTCACAGGTCTTATCTCCAAAAACAGTCACATTAGGGGTTGGGGCCTTCAACATAAGAATTCTGGGGGTATGTAAACATTCAGTTCATAACAAAGAGCTATATAAAGAAGGGCAGGCATTGTTGGGAGACACTCCTCCGTGTGTCTCTTACACTCCTGTGCATTTTGCTGGGGCATGACAAGAATGAGGGCAGTTCTGGGCACAGTGCTAGGTCAGTGAAGAGAGGGCCTTCCCTTGTACTTTGAATGGCTGTTTCATTCATGCGTGATCTTGCAACATTATGTACTGGACATTTGAAAATATGGGCTCTTGTAATTATACAAAGATTCAATATGTAGACACATTTTACTACACAAACAGCACTTGCAACTAAATTTCCTCTATAGAGAAGTCTCAAGAATTGGTAAGTTGTCAAGTTCATATAGGCAGATGTAAGTTTTCTAAAATTCTTAATTTTTATTTGAACACTTTAATTTTATCATTGACAACAAATACTGCCAGTGGTTTTCCTTGAAAGGAGAGGCTGACTTCATTTTCAAGAAAACATCTGTCAAATACCCAACTCTGAATGACCAAAATCTGCCACTTGTTCTTTCAAGCACAAATATGCCATTCCACAGAAAAAGGAGCTGGGGCTTTCCAGGTGGCTCAGTGGGTAAAGAATGTGCCTGCTAATGCAGGAGATACAGGACACAGGTTCAATCCCTGAGTCAGGAAGATCCCCTGGAGGAAGAAATGGCAACCCACTTCAGTATTCTTGCTTTAAAATACCCCTTTAAAAAGGAATACTTATGATTTCATCAACATTCTTAAGTGAAGCAAGCAATGTTTTTCTACTGCAAGTGCATAGCAGTGAAGAGTAACGACTACTAGAGTTTGGTGCCACTTACCATCAGTTTGTGCTAAGGCCCCAGAAGTTCTATTGACTACTGATTTGACACCATCACTGCAAATTCCAACAGTGAAAAAGTAAATCACGTATTATAAAGAGCTTTGACTTTGCAGACACCCCTGGGGTCCTGGGGATACCCAGAAGGCCATGAACCACACTTTGTGAACAGCTATGAATCAGAATAAATGCAGAATATAAAAACAGTTAACACATGGTCCCTATTTTTAAGTTCACCTGGTAACAGAGGAAACTGATGAAGTCAACTGCAGCACAGCTTTAGTGACAGGAGAAACGGTAGCCTTTGTGGAAGGTAAAGACAAGGACTAGGGTCCAGTTGGCCTACGACTGCAGTAACGCAGACAAGCAATGACCAGGGCGGGACTCAAGGCAGTGGCAAGAATGGAGCAACCTTTAAGGTGGTGGAATTACAGGACTTGGTGACTGATGAGCTGTGATGCACAGCGCAGGAGGGCAGTTTGGTGGCCACCGGTGCCCCTCCTACAGATGCAGTAGGGAGGAGCGGGCTGGCAGCCAGGTGAGTGAAGATTTATGAGTTTACTTGGCGTTACTCATCTGATACGAGCATCAGATCTCCAGAGGAGTCAGAACAGGCAACTGGTTGTTTACTGCTCCTTCCACTGGACCTCGCAGTTTTCTCATTCACTGCTGTATTCCCAGGGCCAGGCACGGCACCAGCTCTTAACGTTGACTGTATAAAGCAATGAATCTGGCCAGGGGCTGGTGACAGTTAACCGACAGGAGGGTTCCACTTGGCGGTCATTTTACACCCATGTTTATTTGAAACCACAAGAGTGGATGAGCTCGGTGCGTGTAACAGGAGGTCCGAACTTCCGTTTCAAAATCTGTCTGGCCCTGAACAGCCAGAATAAGTGGCGTTCTTGGGAAATATTGCCTCAAACAGGTCACGGCGGCCTGTAACATATAAACCTAGCTTGCAAAATCTGCTTCTGTTAGACGCAGAACACCCAATAACCACGACTTGCTAGCTCTATCACTGCATATGCATACCTGTCTGGTTTTATTCGAGGTGAGATGGGACTGACCTCAGCGTCCCAACCTTCAGGGCGTAAAGGCGTCTTTCACAATCTCCCTTTATCGCGGATGATATTTGGAACTTTCCGAAAGCCCAGGACGCTGCCCTCCAAAGGGTTCAGGTGCGGCGCCCTCGAGCGCCCAGGCAGGGGGCGGCGCCCCAGCCACCCGCCCCGCTGACGCCACATAAGCCGAGATCACCTCAGCCGCTCGCGGTGCAATCACCGAACGCGCGCCGCCGCCGCCGCCACGCCGCAACCCTCTCCCTGAAATCCTTCCGCCCGTCCCATCACGGTGCCGTGTCCTGGCTCCCGGCACCCAGGACACACAGGCTCGGGTGGCTCGCGATTCTTAGGGTGGCCTCCTCTTAAGCCTATGTTTCTCTTCTTTCTCTGCAGTCCTCGTGCCACAGGTGCAGCCTGATTCCTCAGGTCCTCTCTCTCGCCGCGCAAGGAGACTTCGGCATGGTGGCTCTATTTAAGGGGCGTGGTCAGCTGCAGGCCCCGCCCTGTTCTGTGACGTGCAGGGTGGTGCGCGAACGAGCCAGAAGTTATAGTGCGTGGGGCTGGGCTTAGTAGGAGACCTGCTGGCCGGGGCCGCCTCCTAACGCCCGTGCTGCCGGCTTCTCTTCCTCCGTGGATTTGGAGGAGCCGCGGCGACCTTGGCCTCCAGCGTCTCTGGCAAACTGACGCGGGGGTGGCGGCCAGGATGGTGATGCTGGACTTACTGCAGGCGGGCGGGTCAGTGCTGGGGCAGGCTATGGAGCAAGTAACGGGCGGCAACCTCCCATCCATGCTGCTCATCGCCTGCGCCTTCACTCTCAGTCTGGTCTACCTACTCCGCCTCGCGGTTGGCCACCTGGCCCCACCACTGCCGGCTGGGGCGGTACGTGCACCCCTGGGGGTTCTCCTGGGGGACGCTGCGACCAGGGCGACCGAAGAGCTAGCGAGGGGCTGCCGGGCTGTGGCGGCGGGCGCGCTGGAGGCTGGCGTTGGGCGGGGGTCGAGGGGCAGCAGCCCCGATTGTGGTGGCGCGGGCCGTCGCGACTGCCCTGACCTTGCTGAGCTCGGTGCTGGGTGCCCTGATGTCGGTCGCGTGCCTCGGCCTCGTTGGGGTCGTGTTTACTGCGACTGTGGTCTCAGTGATGGCTCTGTTGACCAGGGCACTACCGGTAGCCCTAATGGCCAGGGTCGGGGTGGCGGCTGTGGCCCTGAGCGTCCGGTGACGGTACTGGCCGCCGTAAGGGGTGTTTCAGCCCTGGTGGGGGCCCTGTTGGTGATGTTTTGGGCAGCTTCGGCCCTGGTGGTCGTCATCCTGGGTGGCTGCCCTTGAGTGGTTCAGTGTTCTATGGACTGTTACCCCTAGTGCCGATTTTACAGCAGTGTGGAAAGGAATGTGTTGAGTTTGGTAGAGTGAGTGTGATGAGTGTTGCAGGGACCGTCATATGATGCTAATAAAATATCAGATTCTCTAACTTAGAGCCTTTACTGACCACGGGCTTCTATTTCCCGAATATATGTGATGAATGCGTTTTTAGCCAAACCAAGTAGCACTGACAATAGAATACATTTTTTACTGACAGTGGAAATCACAAACTGTTGACCAAGTAGTTTCTGAAATGATTTTTGTTTGACCTAAAACAGGCATGAGGCAGTTCTATTCCCCCCTCCCCCCATGTGTGGTATTTTTGAGGAAGTGTTATCTTTGGAAAGACAACTGTAGTATTTTAAGATTGTTGCTACTATTGTCCAAAGAGTGAGTTTGTAGAGCTCCTTTCTCTTTGAGACTACGAAAGATATGAGGGCTATTGTCCTTTTCCATAACTGCATATTTGATTTCAGGAGACTTGATGCTCTAATCTGTGAGTCTCATTTTGGGGCATCTGAAGTACATTTTAAGCCCGCATACTCAGTGGGTCATTCGTGTCCGACTCTGCAGCCCCATGGACTGTAGCCTGCCTGGCTCCTCTGTCCATGGAATTCTCCAGGCAAGAATACTAGAGTGGGTTGTCATTTCCTCCAGGTGATCTTCCCGGCCAGAACTTACATCTCCTGCTTTGGCAGGTTGATTCTTTACCACTGAGCTATGTGGGAAGCCCAGAAATACCTTTCATAGTGAGTGCTAAAATGTTCCTGCTAAAAAAATAAGTAAATAAAATGTTCCTGCTAGAACTGATTTTCTCTCTCTTTAAAATCAATGGATCTAGATCATTCCTTGAAAGAACCATGATAATGTGTTCTGTTGACCATACTGAGGAATCTTAAACATTTCCCTTCTTTCCTTCAAGTTACTCTGTTTTTTTTCCCATTGTGGGACTAAAGATTTAGGCAGGATTTTGGGACTAAAATTGTGAGTGGTAGTAGAAATAAGTGCTCAAGAAACCATAGTTTGAGTTTAGTGTTGTTTTTACTTATGGTTAGGAAAGTTGCCTAGAGCCACTGATAATACTGGGCATATTCTAGAAAGTGTTCAGCATTAATAATTGCAGTACTGTGATGTTTGTCTGGTCATTTATCTTATACCAGGTTTTGAGTTTCTCTTCTTTTTCCCAAAGCTGCTCTCTCTAAGATATTTGTGGTTTGCTTGTTGTGAAGTTACTTTTGGTTCTTCATCTTTTGGTAACTTCTTAATATTAAGGACAAACTTCTTTCTTTCTTTTTGAATTGTGAAACTAAACTAAATGTCTTATAATAGGAAATGTAAACTCGGAAGTTTTTTTGTTTTCTTTTGTAGAAAAGTCCACCATACATTTTCTCTCCAATTCCATTCCTTGGACATGCTATAGCATTTGGGAAAAGTCCAATTGAATTCCTAGAAGATGCATATGAGAAGGTAAGTGTTACAGATCATTAAAGGAAAAGAAATTAGTGCTTTTCCAATTTTATTTTAAATAGTGGAATATTTTTTTTTAAAAAGTAATCTTATGCCTATCCCTAGTACAGGTAACAGATAAAATTGGAGCTGCTCTGGATTAAGAGCTGGAGGGGTCTTAGAGACCCTCTTATGTTCTCCTTTGTTCTGGGATTATCTCTGAGGAAATTTAGTCCTGGCAACTATGGTTTAAAAACCACTGGCCTCAATTTTGTATTCACTGATCCCAGTTAACATGGATACTATTAATAATTGACCCTTTTTTTTTAACCATGCATCTGGAATTTTCTACGCCCCCCATGTCCCTCCCCCTTCAGCAGGTTTCTGTACTTGGTCTCTATTTCCACACCTCCTCCTCACTCTTTAGTCCACTCTAGTCTGTCTTTCAACCCCTTCACTAATGAGCACCGTGTCCTAATGCAGTGGACGGAACTGTATGTGTCAGTGATGACCACTCCCGCCTTAGCTGTGCCTTCTCTCACTTTTCCTTCTGCTTCTGTGAATGCTGCTTTCCTAACGCATTTGTGGGCTCACGCTTGGCCATTGACTGTTGGGATTCACTGAGGTTTGGTCCTTGGCTTTTATTCTTTCCTAGCTGATCTTGTCTCTACCTGTAGCCACATGAAGTCAAAGTGTGAAAGTGTTAGTCCCTCAGTTGTGTCTGACCCTTTGTGACCCCGTGGACTGTGACCCACCAGCTTCCTCTGTCTTTGGAATTACCCAGGCAAGAATACTGGAGTGGGTTGCCATTCCCTTCTCCAGGGAATCTTCCCAACTCAGGGATTGAACCTGCATCTTTTGCATTGACAGGCACCTGGAAAGCCCAACCAGATGTAAATGACAGCCAAATTAATGTCTCCAATTCAGGTCTCTCCTTTGGTCTTCAGACCTGAATATCCATCTCCCACATGATTTTTTCTCAGTTGTCCCAAGTCACCTGAAATCAGACATTTAAATAATCTGACCCTGTGATTTTTCTCTCTAATCCCGATCGTCCTTCCTGTTCACTTTGCTCCTCATTGTTCTACCAGTTTTGCAACATACCAGGAGCTTAGGATTCACTCTTGATACTTCCTGCTCCATCCAGCAATTCATTGCCAAACCTGCAGATTTTCTCTTCAAAATAATTCTGCATCCTTCTGCTGCTGTCTCCACTGCCTCCATTCCATCGTCCCAAGTGCTCATCAGCAGGTTCCTGTGACAGGCTCGCTGGTCGTCTGGCTTTCCTTCAGCTCCTGTCCCTCCCTCCTCTCCATCCAGGAGTCAGAGGGATCTTTCTTTTAAAATATGCACAGAGTAGTATCTTTCCCATGCAGTTTAAGACCTTCCATCTCATTCCGTTGCTTGCAAGGATACAGTTCCCTGCATGTGGCTTTTAAGGCTGTGTATGGGGCAGGCCCTACTAGATAGCCTCCACCCTCATCGGATCCTTGCCTTCTCTTTTACCTTTAGAACTCTGTGCATGCTCTGCCTTCAGGCTAACTACTGCCCCTACCCATGCTTTAGGTCTCAGCTCTGGTGTCTTTTTCTATTTTTAGTCCCTTTTATCAGTTCTCTCATCGAAGAAGAGTTGCTTTCCTTTGTGTAGTACTTGTCACATTTGTAATTTTACATTTGTTAATGCGATTATTCAATTGAGTTGTATCTTTTTAAATAGACTGGAGTTTCTTGAGTCACAGACAGTATTTTTGTTCATGATTGTATCCCCAGTAACTGAAATCTTTAATGGTAATCAGAAAACTGCAAAGCAAAGCATTTAGCACCTAACCAGATGAACAAAAAAATTAAAAATGAGATCATTCAGTGTTGGTGAGATAGTGGTAGGACTCATAACTAAATAAAATTCTGGTATCTTCACATAGCAAGGACTTTACGAAAGGTCATATTTTTTGGCTACTCCTGTAAAGTTACCTTTAATCAAAGAGAAAATATATTCTCAGAGATATTCATTACATAATTATCTATAATAAATAAAAAATGGACACATCAACCATAGAAAGAACAGTTAATATGATGTCTGTGAAAGAAAATATTTTCAATGTAAGGAGTGAAAAAAGCAGAATAGAAAGTTTTATTTATGTTTTATTTGGAACTGGATGAACATAATTATACATTTGGACAGACAGGGGGAAGAATTGCATTAAGGTTTGTGAATGTTTTGATCTTCAACAATGTATTATTTTGTTATTTAAGACGAATGTCTTAGCGCTTGCAGATTTTTTTGGTAACGTCACTATGGATACTTTTCTCTCTTCAGTATGGACCTGTATTTAGTTTTACCATGGTGGGCAAGACGTTTACCTACCTGCTGGGGAGTGAGGCTGCTGCACTGCTTTTTAATAGTAAAAACGAAGACTTGAATGCCGAGGATGTCTACAGCCGTCTGACAACACCTGTGTTTGGGAAGGGAGTTGCCTATGATGTGCCTAATCCAGTAGGTGACATGGTTAACTTGAAGAAAGACAAATCTACACTATACAATTTATAGCTAGTAGTGTAAGCTCTGCTGCTAACGTGTAGAAGAGATTGTTCCTTGCCTCAAAACTCTGAAGAATCAGGAGGCATTTATGAGAAGGAAAACCAAGGGTAGCTGACAGAATGGGTATTTTGCTTTATAGCTGCTGGCGTGGACTAAACAATTTTAAAGGGCTTCCTGTGCAAAGCAATATTAATAGATCAATGAGAACTTAGTGTGTTAGCATTAGATTTGAGGTAGTAAGAAGGAAAAATTCATTTCATCAGAAGGGCCTCTTATTAATACTTTCCCACCTCCTACCTGAAATTCTAGGATGAGAGCTCTTTTGAGCTAGAGGTTGTTGGTTTTAGAAGTTTGTGTGATTTCTTTGCTCCCCCAAAGGCAAATATTTAAGTGCTGCAACTTGGTATAAAATGCAGATCCAATAATTAGCTTAATTACTTGGTGCAGGCTCTGGCTATCAGTGTACCATGCATTACCCAGTACTCTAGTGTAGCAGCTGAGAATTGCCATTAAGTGTTGCTTCTGGGGATTGAGGCGCTATGGGGGAATGAACAGCTCTCCTTAAGACCAAAAGCGAAGACAAAACAAGACAAAAAAAAGACCAAAAGTGAAAGCCTAGGTTAATCCCTCTGGTTCGATATACCTAACCAGAAGTTCTATTTTAAGAACTTTCCAAAGGGTTTATTGTATTAGTGTGAATTTATTCCCACTGTATTACATTCTAATTAAACTTTTGGAAGATAGTGTGAGTGAGGAATGATATTTGTTTGGGAATAAATAGTAGAATATGTGAAAGAGGATAAAAATATTAGCAAAGCATAATGGACCTTTGGGAGATTGTGTTGGCATCTAGGTTGGGTTGGAAGACTAGAATATAATGAAATAGGAGGAGGCAGCCTTGGAGTCAAGAGTGGGGAAAGCATGTATATATAGGAAGGAGGGCCAGAAGTGGGGTTCCTAATTTATCATTTGAATTGAACCTGCATAGCATGTGTCTACTACATGTTACTTCAGATATATGCATGAAGTTTTATCTGGTGCGGTGAAGAAAATTATTTTATCTTTGTTTTCAATTTTTCAGAAAATTGCTTTCTTTGAGTATTAAAGAGTTATAATAACCCAAATGAGTCTCATGATAAAAGAGAACTGTGTTTTAATACTTGTATACTCAATATTTTGAAGGTTTTTTTGGAGCAGAAGAAAATGTTGAAAAGTGGTCTTAACATAGCCCACTTTAGACAGCACGTTTCTATAATTGAAAAAGAAACAAAAGAATACTTTGAAAGTTGGGGAGAAAGTGGAGAAAAAAGTAAGCACAATATTTTGGTTTTTCATTTGTCCTAATACATCTACTTTTCTGTGACTAGAAGTTTTGAGAATGTGTGTGTATGTGTGTGTAAAGAGCAAACTACAACACATGTAAAACCACCTTGCACGCTTGCATGCTGAATCGCTTCAGTCGTGTCTGACTCTTTGCCACCCCATGCACTGTAGCCCCCCAGGCTCCTCTGTCCATGTGATTCTCCAGGCAAGAATACTGGAGTGGGGTGCCATGCCCTCCTCCAGGGGACCTTCCTGATCCATGGATTGAATCCACATCTGTTACGTCTCCTGCATTGGCAGGTGGGCTCTTCACCACTCACCCTCCTGGGAAGCAAAACCACCTTATATTTAATGAAATGAACATGTTATGGAGTTAAAAGACTTGAGAGGAAGTAATTATTGCTGCTCACTTAGCAAATCTTAAAATATTTTAATTAATGTGCATATTATTTAGCTCAATTGTGTGAATTTGGAGAAGGCAATGGCAACCCACTCCAGTACTCTTGCCTGGAAAATCCCATGGACGGAGGAGCCTGGTAGGCTGCAATCCATGGGGTCGCTAAGAGTCGGACATGACTGAACGACTTCACTTCCACTTTTCACTTTCATGCACTGGAGAAGGAAATGGCAACCCACTCCAGTGTTCTTGCCTGGAGAATCCCAGGGATGGGAGCCTGGTGGGCTGCCGTCTATGGGGTCACACAGAGTTGGACACGACTGAAGCGACTTAGCAGCAGCAGCAGCAATTGTATGAATTACATAAAAATGATTCATGATTGAATTTTGAAATAAACCAAATGTAAAACTTACATTCAAGGTCATTTTAAGATAATATATAAAATTTAAAAATTTGCCCTTCATGTCAGCAAGTTGAAGCCTAAAAGATTAAATTATATATGTAATACATTATTTTTCTAATGTTGTATGGGAATGATTTATTTCAACATAAATGTAAGTTTAAATACATAAGCTTGCTGTACTACCAAAAGCGATTTTAGCTGTTCCCAATAGAAATCTTTAAAAAACATATTATATGCTTTCTCACCTTATGTGAGAAAGTTATATTGCATGTAACGTAATATTCTTTGGACTCTGTGAATCCAGTTTTTATATTGGACTGCAGTTAAGTGTTGCCATCGAGAGCATTGCCATAGCCCTAGCGAAGAAGCAACATCTGTCTGCAGGGCAGTAAGATTACTTCGTGGGTCGTCACATTCTGGTCTGGTCTTCAGCTTCTATAAAAGGTCCAGGAACCTGGTTTTATTTAATAGACCTAAGTTTTATGTGACATACTTGGTATTCTACAAGAAGCTGATGTATAAATGAGAATGCTAACTGAATAAATACAGTGAGATGCAATTATGGGACCAAGAACAGCATAATATTTGCTGGACTTCTTTTTACTGGCAATCTAATTGGAAAGCCACATGATAACTCAAAGTTCGTTTGGTGAACATGGAATTAAAGAACAGGATATCGACTGGGTAATTGTTATGACTTTTAAAGGGTGTGCTTACCTGATGCATCTGTCTCTAATGTTTGCATATACAAGATGGTGATTAGTTAGTTCTAAGACTTTTTCAAGACTTCATTTTTTTCCCACTTATGAATTTCCCACTTTTGATCTGGGGAATAATCCATTCTTGTCTTTGGACTGCTCTTTCTTAGAAAGCATCTTTTTATCCCCTTGTGTACTAGATAACCTTTTTATTGCCTTCATTATCCTGTGACCTGGAACTCAGATAACCACATTCATTTTTATCTTCTTTTTCTTTTTGAGATGAAGGGCTTGTGAGGGTGAGTGAGATTTTAGTTGCCTCTGTGGCATCTGTCTTGGCTATCCACGGAGGGGGACTGCCTTTGGTTTCTCTTTATTGTAGCCTGTCTACAGGCTTCTTTCAGTGGTGTGAATAGGATTTTGTTGGTTAATGAGTTAAATTTTTATTCTCATTTCCTTCACAGTACTTTTGCATCTCTAAGAAAACAACATTTCAAAAGAATTTTTGGCAATGGTAACGGGAATGATCTTTTCCCCTCTAGATTTGTTTGAAGCTCTTTCTGAGCTCATAATTTTAACAGCCAGCCATTGTTTACATGGAAAGGAAATCAGAAGTCAACTCAACAAGAAGGTGGCACAACTGTATGCGGATTTGGATGGAGGTTTTAGCCACGCAGCCTGGCTTTTGCCAGGCTGGCTCCCTCTGCCTAGTTTCAGGTATGGATAAAGAGACGATGCTTGCCATTACAGTATACTAACACATATATATGGAATTTAGAAAGATGGTAACGATAACCCTATATGCAAAACAGAAAAAGAGACTCAGATGTATAGAACAGACTTGTGGACTCTGGGAGAAGGCGAGGGTGGGATGTTTCAAGAGAACAGCATCGAAACATGTATATTATCTAGGGTGAAACAGATCAGCAGCCCAGGTTGGGTGCATGAGACAAGTGCTCGGGCCGGGTGCACTGGGAAGACCCAGAGGGATCGGGTGGAGAGGGAGGTGGGAGGGGGGACCGGGATGGGGAATACATGTAAATCCATGGCTAATTCATGTCAATGTATGACAAAAACCACTGCAATGATGTAAAGTAATTAGCCTCCAACTAATAAAAATAAATGGAAAAAAAAATAAAAAAAAGAGACGATGCTTGGTCATTTCACTTTGTTTAATTACTGTACTGTTGGTTTGCTTTGCATTAGCAAAAATAAAAATTAAATATAGAAACAAATTGGGGGAGATTATGAGCCTCCCTGCTTCTGTAAGAATTCAACATTTTTTTTACATAGTGAGCTCATTTAAGGTTAAGTTTCAGTTTTAGAAGGGTTAATTTGTCTGTCCTGATATTTTAAAACCTACTTGTCCCATGTATTCCTTGTACTCAGGAAAGTTCCTGAACTCTTACCTAGAAGTGATGCAGCCTTCTAAGCACTTGAAAGTAGTTGACTAATTTGTAGTTTGTTGAGAAGTTTCTTTGTTTCGAAGTATTCCTCCCTCTTTGTCTCCTTGTGTTGTGATCTCCTTAAAGGCCCCGATCATGTGTGATACAGAGAGACACTGCTGTAGGACTTGACTTGTAGCTTAGTGTTTTGCCTATTAGTAGCCTTTATTGGTTCATTTCTGTTCAAGTGAGGAATGGGAGTTATTCAAATCTTAAATCCTATAGAAGAACCAGAGTGAGTCTGTCCACTTTAAGAATTAATTTGCTTGAAACTGGGATTTCATGTTAATGTAAAGGTGTATTTCTGCTTTCTTTTAAAATGGAAAATGGCTGTAAAGGAATAATCATTTGAGTCTTCAGTTATAACATAGGTAGTGTGCTCAGAATCAGGGATATGTATAACACATTTCCTGTCCTTAAGGACCTTAGAAATTCCTAACAATATAAGATTCTCATGGATTTTTTTTTTTCTCTTGGTTCTGAGTTTTTTCAATTGATGCCTGAAAGTATTGCTTAATTTTTTAAAGTCATCTTCATGTTTGAATTACAGACGCAGGGACAGAGCTCATCGGGAGATCAAGAATATTTTCTACAAGGCAATCCAGAAACGCAGAGAGTCAGGAGAAAAAATTGATGACATTCTCCAAACTTTATTAGAGTCTACTTACAAGTAAGAGCTCTTCAGCTTTTCAAACTGAAGCAGGAAATTCCACATAAAATACACAAAATATAGTTAAATACATTTAACTACATGTACATTTAAGTACATTTAAAATGTACATTTAAGTACATTTAAAAAGTAATAATACTGGCAAAAATTAGTAGCTATGACCTTTGAACTTCTTAAATGGATGAGACCTAAATTACTGGAATCCTGTACCTTACTGGAATTTAGTACTGTGCATGTGAAAAGTTTGTTAGTAAACTGCAATGAAGTCTTTGTAATTAATGTCATATTTTTTATTGGCCTCTCTTCTCTAACGGGGAAAAAAAATCTGGACTTGTGATGGGTAAATGCAAGAGAAAAAATGAACTAATTTTTATGTAAAGGTTGGGGTATAAAGTGCATCTGCAAATGTTAAATTTGTGTATGTGGTCCATTCTGTAGGGATGGGCGTCCTCTGACGGATGATGAAGTAGCAGGCATGCTTATTGGACTGCTCTTGGCAGGGCAGCATACTTCCTCCACTACCAGTGCCTGGATGGGCTTCTTTTTGGCCAGAGACAAAACACTTCAAGAAAAATGTTTCTTAGAACAGAAAACAGTCTGTGGCGAGAATCTGCCTCCTCTGACTTATGACCAGGTTTGTGGGATTTTCAGTTTCATTGCTGCTTATGATACTGAGTGTGTGTGGCTGATTTTTAAAGGGGACAATTTGGGATCTTCATGTACTATAGATTAAATTGATTATTTTTAGAAAATTCCCCATAGCCTCCCCTGAAATGTCCTAATCCTGGATCTGTTTGCTGGTGTTTTGTTGAGGACTTTTGGACTATATTCACAGGGGATAGTGGGCTGGAGTTGTATTACGTCTTTGACAGATTTTGGTATCAGGGTATTATTGGTTCTCAGAGAAGGAGTTTGGAAGCGTTCCCGCCTCTTTTTCCTTTTAGGAAGGCTTTGTGAAGGACTGGTATTACTGCTTTCTTAAATGTCTGGTGGTATTAACCAATGAAGCCACCCAGGCTTGTGCTTTCTTTGTGGGCAGTTTTTGATTACTAATTCAGTGTCTCCACTTTTTACAAATCTCTTCATATGCTCTGTTTCCTGTTGAGTTAGCTTTTGGCAGTTTGTCTTCCTAGGAATTTGTTTCATCTAGGCTATCTAACTTGTTGGCAAACAGTTGTTAAAGTATTCTCTTGTCATTCTTTTCTATTAGGTCAGTAGTGATGTCTCCTTTTAATTCCTGACTTTTAGCAATTTTTATAGTGATAGCTAATTACATACTATAAAATCCACCTGTTAAAGTATATAATCCACTGGTTTTTAAAAATATTTTCAGAATTGTGAAACCATCATCAGAGTCTCATTTAAAAATGTTTACGCCACTTCCAAAAGAGGGCCATGAGCAGTCCATTTCCCCTGCCCCTGGCAACCTCTCATGCCAATTGGACATTTCATACAGTATGTTTCACATCATACAGTATGTGATCTCTTGTGACTAGCTTCTTTCACTTAACATGTTTTAATCTAAGATTAATCCATGTTGTAGCATGTATCAGTACTTTAGCTTCTTTATTGTGAAAGTAACATTCCATCATGTGGCTATACCACTTTTATTAACCTCTTCATCAGTTGATTGACATTTGGATTGTTTCCATTTTTAGGATACTATGAATAATGCTGCTATAAACATTTGTGTACAGGTTTTGAAAAAGCTGAAGTTGATGATTTTTGCTAATGTTTTCATGTTTTAGATTTTGCAGGTCCTTACCATGTGGTAGCCATTCTTCAGAGTGATCTGTTATTTTGCCTTCTTTTTCTTTGATGACCATGGACAGTAATAAAACTTTTTATTCAGCTACTCTGAATTTGTTTCTATCCTGTTGCAGTATCCTGTTGCAGTTAAATGTTTGTAAAACTCTTTTTAGCTCAAGGATCTCAATTTACTTGATCGCTGTATAAAAGAAACATTAAGACTTCGGCCTCCTATAATGACCATGATGAGACTGGCCAAAACTCCTCTGGTGAGTCTCCTGGCTAGAGCTTTTCCTCTGTGGCCCCAAGTTTTATTTATCAAAAAGAAATAGTGTAATATTGAAGAGAATTTTTTTTAAGACATAGAATAATCACTTGTACATAATTTTCAGTTTTACATATTCTAGATATATAAATATTTTTACATAATTGTAGACAGTATACATGCTCATCTGATCTCCCTACATTTTAACAATTAGGGCTTTTAAAATGGAAGTGTAGTTTTTTCCTTGGTTTTTTAAAATAACATATATGTTGTTATAAGTAATTGTAACTGTGGAACTGTGTAAATTGGATTGTGAAAGGCTTCTTGAAATCCCATCCCCAGCCCCATGGCATTGATTTTTTAAAATTTGTGTATATCCTTCCAGCCCAATGTTGTGTCATATGGAAATCATCTTGAGTTAAAATAATTCTTAACTGACCTATCTACCAGCCAGTTTTAAAATATATGTATATTTCATGTATACTAGTGCTTTATTGTACAGCGATCTGATTATTTGGTGGAATATTTCAGTTATCTAATGAAGTGTGTTGCTTTCATTTGTAGACTGTGGCAGGGTACACCATTCCTCCAGGACATCAGGTGTGTGTTTCTCCTACTGTCAATCAGAGACTCAAAGACTCATGGGTAGAGCGTCTGGACTTTAATCCTGATCGCTACTTAGAGGACAGTCTAGCATCAGGAGAGAAGTTTGCTTATGTGCCATTTGGAGCTGGTAAGATGATTACACTTCATATTTGAAATGTTAGTTCTGATAACGTATTTGTTAAATAATCCATGTGAATTTTATTTACAAATATCTTCCCTCTTTCTTATGGGGACATACCTACAGACATTTGTAGGCGTGTAATCTTTGCAGGTTGGAAGAAATATTTCATTTCATAAAGGAAACAGTTCTGTGAATCCTTATATAGTGTTCTATTATCTTTTGTAACCCATCTAGTTTTATAGTTCTGATTTTTGTAGTCTACCCTGTTTTCCCTTATGCTATTTAAAGCTCTTTGTGAATTTTGTTTTAAAGAACTGTTGAAGTTAGCACACCATTTAGCATTTGAAGCTAAATATGATGAGATAATCAGCATTTCAGAAAAGAGTAATGGCATGGAAGCTTTCCTGGATTGTTAGTGAGCTTTTTGGTTGTCTATGTATTCTTATAATGTTCTTTAAATTTGGACAGTAGTCATGTATGGATGTGAGAGTTGGATTATAAAGAAAGCTGAGCACCAAAGAATTGATGCTTTTGAACTGTGGTGTTGGAGAAGACTCTTGAGAGTCCCTTGGACTGCAAGGAAATTAACCAGTCCATCCTAAAGGAGATCAGTCCTGAATATTCATTGGAAGGATGGACGCTGAAGCTGAACCTCCAGTACTTTGTTCTTTTTTTTTCCATTTATTTTTATTAGTTGGAGGCTAATTACTTTACAATATTGTGGTGGTTTTTGCCGTACATTGACATGAATCAGCCATGGATTTACATGTGTTCCCCATCCCTCTGGGTCTTCCCAGTGCACCAGCCCCGAGCACTTGTCTCATGCATCCAAACTGGGCTGGTGATCTGTTTCACCCTTGAGAGTATACTTGTGAAACTCCAATACTTTGGCCACCTGATGCGAAGAACTGACTCATTGGAAAAGACCCTGATGCTGGGAAAGACTGAAGGCAGGAGGAGAAGAGGACAACAGGATGAGATGGTTGGATGGCATCACTGACTCAATGAACTCGAGTTTGAGTAAGCTCTGGGAGTTGGTGATGGACAGGGAAGCCTGGCGCGCTGCAGTCCATGGGGTCGCAGAGTCAGACATGACTGAGTGACTAAACTGAACTGAGATTTGGACAGGTAGTGCATAAATGTGCAAACCTATGCATTTTGATTAAGACCCTAAAATAACGCAGGCTGACTGCTGTTCCTCCAGTAATCTCTCTAGTCATTGGTACTTTGCACAGATTTAACTGTATTCTATGACTTATTTGACTTTCCAAAAAGACCATTTAAGTGACGTGACTTGTTTCTCATTGGTCACACCTTTTCCTCACATAAATGAAAGTATAAGGTCCTTTGGAAACTTTAGACCTTAATAACTATTTACTAAAGAAATTCAAAAGTGGTATACCATATACATAACATAGAAGAGTCATAGATTGTTCAAGCGGTTGGAAGGGGCATTAGTTATCAAGCCCAAATTCTGCCCCAAAAAGGAACCATTTCTAAACTGACACTTACCTGGCTTCTGTCTGGGGTTAGTGCAGACCGCATTGGTGAAGGGCTCAGTTCCCCCACCACTTTAGATGCCATTTACAAGTGCAGGTTGTTAGCTGTTCTAACCAACTGGCTATTAACCTGAGGCTCTCTGGACACCGCTTTGCGCTTCCATGATTTGTTAGAATGGCTCACAGAACTCCGGAGTGCTTGCTTACTGACTGCTGGTTTCAGTCGCTCGGTCGTGTCTGACTCTTCACCACCCCAGGGACTGCAGAACGCCAGGCCTCCCTGTCCATCACCAACTCCCAGAGCTTCCTCAAACTCATGTCCATCAAGTCAGTGATGCCATCCAACCATCTCATCCTCTGTCATCACCTTCTCCCCCTGCCTTCAGTATTTCCCAGCATCAGGGTCTTTTTGTATCAGGTGGCCAAAGTATTGGAGTTTCAGCTTCAGCATTAGTCCTTCCAATGGATATTTCAGGACTGATTTTCTTTAGGATGGACTGGTTGGATCTCCTTGAGGTCCAAGGGACTCTCAACAGTCTTCTCCAACACCACAGTTCAAAAGCATCAATTCTTCGGTGCTCAACTTTCTTTATAGTCCAACTCTCACATCTGTCCATGACTCCTGGAAAAACCATAGCTTTGACTAGACGGACCTTTGTTGGCAAAGTAATGTCTCTGTTTTTTAATATGCTGTCTAGGTTGGTCATAACTTTGCTTCCAAGGAGCAAGTGTCTTTTAATTTCATGGCTGCAGTCACCATCTGCAGTGAGTGATTTTGGAGCCCAAGAAAATAAAGTCTGTCACTGTTTTCATTGTTTCCCCATCTGTTTGCCATGAAGTATGGGACCAGATGCCATGATCTTAGTTTTCTGAATGTTGAGTTTTAAGCCAACTTTTTCACTCTCCTTTCACTTTCATCGAGGTTTTTTAGTTCTTCACTTTCTGCCATAAGGGTGGTGTCATCTGCATATCTGAGGTTATTGATATTTCTCCCGGCAATCCTGATTCCAGCTTGTGCTTCCTCCATCCCAGCGTTTCTCATGATGTACTCTGCATATAAGTTAAATAAGCAGGGTGACAGTGTACAGCCTTGAGGTACTCCTTTTCCTATTTGGAGCCAGTCTGTGGTTCCATGCCCAGTTCTGTTGCTTCTTGACCTGCATACAGGGTTCTCAGGAGGCAGGTCAGGTGGACTGCTGGTTCACTACACAAGTATACAACTCGGGAATAGCCTGACTGAAGAGAAGCGCAGAGCAAGCAGAAGGAAAGGGTACACAGCTGCATGCCCTCTCTGGGTGTGCCACCCCTACCCCCAAAAGTCACCTCATTTGCAAATTCAAGTTGTGGTTGAAAGGGGCTTGTTATGAATAACAAATGGCTCTTTTCTTTGACCTTTATTTGCTCCCTTCACTTAAGAAATTCCTGTGGTTTGAGGAACACTGTGCCAAGAATGGAAGACTAAATACATATTTATTACAAATCACATTATCAGAGGTTGTGAAACATTTAGTAGTGAGGTCATATTTGAAGTCTTAAGTCCTGCAACATGGTTCTTCTCTTTCAAGATTGCTTTGGAGATCTAGTCCTATGCATTTGTCTCTGCATTTTAGAATCAGTTTGTCAGTTTTTATATGTATATGACCCTTTACATTTTGATGTCTTGCTATTTTCAGTGTATTAAATTCCATTTTCCATTATCACTTGAAATGGCATTTAAAGTTTTGATTGGAAGGTTCATATTAACTTTTAACTATGGGTCTCTTGGGAGAGAAGAGAATATTCTAATATTCAGAATATTCTAGTATATCTCCAAACTTGATGACCATTGTGTGTTTCAAACGTTACATATATTTAACCTAGATAGATGTTGGGTTTCAGGAAAAAAACAATTGGAGAAATCATTGTATAATACCCCTGTGCTGTTTCCCCTAAGAGACATTAAAAATCTCTTGGGAGTTTTATGGTTACTTACATTGTTATGAAAAGAATATGTCTCTTTACTCTAGTATCTGTATATCTGCTTTTCACCTTTAATTAACTGTAGATAAACAACTTTTATCACTCTAGACTCAAAGAGATGAGAAAGAATTTCAACCAATTGTTATGGAAACTTTTTTTTCTTTTGCAGGGCGTCATCGTTGCATTGGGGAGAATTTTGCCTATGTTCAAATCAAGACAATTTGGTCCACTATGCTTCGTTTATATGAATTTGATCTCATTGATGGGTATTTTCCCACTGTGAATTATACAACTATGATTCACACCCCTGAAAACCCAGTTATCCGATACAAACGAAGATCAAAATGAAAAAGGAAGCAAGGAACTAAAATGTGAACATCACTGTAAACTGCAAAAGCATTGAAGAGAACGAAGTTTATGAAATAACTCCCAGTATACTCTTTTTTTTTGAGTTTGTAATTTTAAATAAGTTTATTTAAAGCTTATGGTTTTTATGTATTAACTGAACAGTGCCATCAAATCCAAGACATTTCAGAAATTTCCTAATAGTTTTATGATGGATACTTCATATGCTCTCTTTAAGGAAATCAAGCTTATTAGTTTGGGGGTGAGGATCTTTGTTAATTGGCAGACTCTAAATGACACAATTTCCAGGTGTTAAAAGAGCATACATAGCTCTTGGCGAGAAAGTTCAGAGTATTTAGATCTCGTACTAGATCTCCAAGTATAAAAGCCCAGTGAAATATCTGGAAGCCTTAGGTTATTCATTCATTTATTGGGCAGTGTATGTATATGTAAGGATGGATGGGGAGGGAATAAACTCACATTTAAAGCCTTGGATAAAAGAGAATCCTATTGTTTTGGTATGATGATATTTAGCAATGATGGAGCTATATTGTAGGAAAATATAGCCTTTGAAATAGCTAGAAGCACTGTCCATAGGAAACAGATTTCTGACAATGACTAATTATATTTCCTAAAAAATAATACAAAATTAATTTTGTGTGACTAGATCTAATTATTGAATATCATATATTTATCTGCCTGATAAATTTGTATCTGGGTCCACATAGTTCCATTGGTGTGGAAGTCCAAAATAAAGTCCTTGAAGGATAAGTTTTGCTCTCTTTGGCCCAAGGTGATTTCCATATCCTCTCTAGAATCTAATCAGGGGTTTTTGTGACTAGTTCTGTTAATTTAGGTTAACAAGCTTTTTTTTTCCTTGTTAAATACAAAACCTGAGATCAGGAACTGTGGCTTTAAGACAAGGGTAATATAGTGCAGGGTTTCTTGGGAGTGTATCTCACTGGTCAAATTCTGTGAAGCCTGTGTTCAAGAATCAACTCAAATTAAAACTGGAGATGTGACTGTGTATTACAGTTCTGTTTAAAAGGTTAGCGGTCTCATGTTAAGCTATTGGTGAAGGCAAAATCTGTGTTGTTGAGTTTTTCACATTAAATTATCTTTGAGAATATAGTCTGTATTCATAAATTGTGAAGTGTGTGATTCAATGAGAAAAATTCAGGAATCTAGGTACTGGGATGGGAAAAAAATGTGCCATCTTTATTTGTACTAATTTCCTTTATTCATGAATTTATGTAACCATATTAGTATTAGCAGTATCCATGATTCTGCAAACAGAAATCAGATACTTTTCATATCACATTATAGATATCTTTTAACTTTTATCACTACTGTGAAATTATGGTATTCTAAGACTGTTAGATCTTATTTCTTACTTACCACAAAAATTTTTTAAAGTTTTGAGTATGTCTATATAATTAGTTTCCTTTGCAATCTTATATACTGTATGTTTTTAAAAACACTATTCTGGGGACTCCCCTGGTGGTCCAGTGGTTAAGACCTCACCTTCCCGTGCAAGTGGTGGAGGCTGGACCCTTGGTTGGGAGCTAAGTTCCTGCATGCCTTGGGGCCGAAAGACCAAAACATAAAACAGAAGCAATACTGTAGTAAATTCACAAAGATTTTAAAAATGGTCTACATCCCAAAAGCATTATTTTGAGAAGGGATCCATAGTTTCATGAGATTGCTAGAAAGTTTCATGGCACAAAAAAGTTAAAACTCTGTGGTAAGGCTGGCTCATGTTTAGTGAATAGTTACAATAAAATTTAGTTTATAACTACAGAATAATTATTGAGAAGCATTAACAAGTCTGACTGTGGAGGCCTGATGTTATAAGGATGCTGACGGGCAAACAATGGGAGTGAAACTCATCAGAGGTACCCACTCACTCTTTTCTCATTCTCCCTTAGAGTGGAATCACCTTGAATGGAAAGCTGTGCTTAGCTTAAAAAAGGTTTTATCCATGAGCTCCTCTCTTCAACTGTTTTAGAATACATTTGTAACTTCTAGAACACGTTATTGGAACTTAGCTGCTAATATGGAAAATTTAGGTAATTTGAAATTTCCAAGAATGTAGATTGCCTGTTTGTCTTGGTATAAATTGTAAACTATCTAATGTTAAGACAGAACCCTCTGGAAGATAAGTGTCAGATACTACTCTTCTTGCTGTTTTAGTGGTAGCCATGTTATCAGGGAGGACTAGTTTAAAGAAATAACATTGAGATCTTGATTGCCTCTATGAGCGCGTCTTTGGATTGGAGAGCATGAGCACTGCTTAACTGATGTACTGTGCTTAGGAAAATCCGAGATTTTGCATCATCTCTGGGCATGGCTTTGAGGAAACACCTCTGGATACAAATAACCCTAAATTTATATATGGTAAATATGGACTGATGTAAATATGGTAAATTTGTGTAAATATGTGTAAAATATTGTGTAAATATGGTAAATTCATTAGGTAAATATGGATTAATCACAAAAATATCTATTTGGCTTCTAAATGACACTGTATGTGGACTTAAAAGTTGATACAAAGACACAAGGAAAACTCTTCCTTGATGTGGGGAAAGAAAAATGCTGGTAATGTTTAATTCTAAAATTAGGACAACTTTTTGAATCTCTAAATCCTACATATTTGAGATAAATAATAAGGTGATATGTACTACCATAGGCTGAATGCTTCTGTCTCTCCAGGTTTGTATGCTGAAAGTGAACCCCCAGTTTGTTGATATTTGTAAGTGGGGGAGGTGATGAGGTCAAGGGGGTGGAGCTCTCACGAGTGGGATTAGTGCCCTCATAAGAGAGACTTTAGAGACTATCCTTGCCCCTCTGCCATGTGAGGACACAGAAAATGACAGTCTACGAAATTAGGAAAACAAGACTCTCAGCAGATTAAGCAGATTAAGGCTTGTTAAAAATGAAGAAGGTTCTTTTTGGCCGCACCTTGGAGCTTGCAGGGTCTTAGTTCTCTGACTAGGAATTGGTCCTAGACCCTGGACAGTGAAAGCATAGAAAAAATAAAATAACATAAAAATGGGCTTAAAGAAGTGAGATCCTAGTATTTATGGAAAGACATAGAAGAGCATTTCTATAGCTTTAAGGCTGGAGATGCTTTATTTATTTTCAATTTTTAAAGTCAAGCTATGGACAAAAACATAGCAGATATGGTGCTGATTGTAAGATACATGGAGATGTTAACCCCTTTGGCACTATGACAGCAAAGTTTGGCTTCAGGAGGTTTCAGGGGAGTGAGAGGGGGAACCTTAATATCCTCACCTTTTGAAGTGGAAAATAAAAAGTTACTATGAAAACTTGTAGGAGAAAAACAGAGGTTTAAGATGGTCTCTAAAGTAATAAAAAAAAAAAAAATCACAGCAGACCAAAAAAATAGCTATAATATCGATGCTGAAAGGAAAGGAAGCCCAGTGTTAGAAAAGTAAAGGTTAACTGTCTTAGTGGAGAGTCAGCAGACCATACTGGGCAGTGTACCGCGAGGCGAGACGTCCAGGGGGCAGGCATCAGCGCAGACTGCGGCTGTAACTGTCTGTCAGAAGAGCTAGGAATATCAAAGACTATCCTTGAGTCTGAGGCTGGAGCAGGAAGGATGGGCAACATTAGCTTTGCATCCTAAGCTCTTGTGAACATGATAATTTGTAGAAGTGACCATGTGCTGTGAATATAAAAATGTAATAAAATGTTAAATTATTAAAAAAATGAAAAAGGTTCAAATACAGTGCAGTTAAAACAGTGAAGTCATTTTTATTTCAGTACTTGACAAAATACCCCATAAAATTCAAAACTTCTACCATTATACAAAAATAGGTCTCTACAAGTGATATTATCTGTCTTCATCACCAGTAGCAAATATATTAGGCAGAAACATGTAACTTCAGTAGCCTTATAAGAAAAGTGCAGGACACCTCAAGCTACACATTCAACTGTATCATAATGCCAAAAGTTTAATCTTTTCACCCATTAGATAAATAACACAATGTTTATAATTTAATCATTTAAATTAGCATTCCACAAATATACATGTAATTGAATGATTATTGTGCATGAATACATACACAGTGCTTATATGTACAAATTCCAGTTTGTTTTCATGTGCTGGCAAGGGCTCTGTATACAATCATAAGCTGTGTTTGCATTGGTCCCATTGAATATCCACAATACAAAAGCACAAAAGAACCATTGATTTACAAAAGGAAATCTGTTTAAAATCAATTCATGATGTTTCAAAGGATTATCTTCTCATGCCAGCATGAAACTGAGTTGAACCTATAAGACAGGAACAGGATAGTTCAATGATTTCAAATCAGATTGTGACTTAGACTGACTAGTTCATGATGGGCAGAAGATTATTCCCTATCATTTAAAACAATAATGCTTTGTTTTCTCCTAAAGAAGTTTTATTCAAACCTGATTGTTTTAAAAAGAGATTTTGAATATATATATTTAAAACAATCTGTGGCTGGCTCCATAGCATGCTAAGTGAGATTAACGTTAAGATTTTCTGTGAAGTGCCCTGCGGACTGATTGTTCTATAGAATATTTTGCTCTTTAACATCTTGTGAAATTTAGATGCTCAAGCCAACGAAGTCCAGCTGTGATGATAAAAGTTTCCTATAGCAACAAGTTGTTTGAGTTAGACAATTTCTTGTATGAAGAGATAAACTACTAAAAATAACCGGTGAGGAGTCCTATCTATTTTGTGGGAATAGCAGAAAAAAGGGTCTCTAATAATAGTTATATGTGTGTGTGTGTGTGTGTGTGTGTGTGTGTGTGAAAGTTGACTTAAAGGTCATTAAGTTAAAATGATTCAAAACCTTTGAATCAGGGGTGAACTGAAGAGAGGGAAAGAGGTTTCTCTCACAATCCACTTCTAAGAATGAAATTTTTTGTGTGTGCTTTTGAGGAGAAAAAAAGGTCATCCTCAGAGTCTCTGGACTGGGCTGGGTTCCTCGCATCACACATAAGAGCAC